AAGCCGTAAGCTCGAAATATGTAATGATGTTAGTGAGTCATTTAACAAAATATATTAGTGCAGTTACAGTAAATGTAAAGAGGCAAGACGTGGAAATACAAGCAGGCCTACTTTACTAATAGTTGATCTTAAAAATAGTTGGAATGGAGCTATTGTTGTTGCGATCATTACGAGGTCATATTGGCTTGAGAGGATTGTTGCATCGAACAGCAATCCGCGGACGAGATACTTCAAATGGCAACAAGAGGCGGTGGGGAAGATGGTGTAGCCGCTTTATCTTAAATTTACAGACAAAGTCACAATGGTTATATCACAGACAGATAAAAGGGCCAGTATACTTAGAGTCTCTTAATATGTGGAGTTTAAGGGGTAGATGATAATAGCGAACCCCCAATTCTGCACTTCCTCAAGGAGTCTTTGTTATGTAATAGTTAAGGAAGAAAAGAGAGAGGGGAAGCGTAGGTGAGTTTAGGAAGCATGAAGGTTGTGTACATTTTCGTAAACTTAGACACAGGAAGTCCCAAGGTTTTGAGACGACAGAGGATGTGGAGACGATAGTTGGAAGTTTTTCGATTGTATTGACGTGTACTTGCCAGCTTGGTTTATCATATGTATTAACGCAGAAGAGCTTGGTGAAATTCATAACTTGGATTGTTTTGGGACCGAGTGCGATGTAGAGAGGTGGAACATTGTCAGAGGAGAGGTTAATGTACATAACAGTGTTGTTTACACTGATGACGACGATGGATTGGTCGATACATTTCAAATGAGCTAGAGTATCCTTCAGGGCATCGTTATTAAGGATAAGAAAACAGAGTGGTGACAAATGTGGAGACAGTCCCTGTTGCTAATAAAGTCTATAACCCATGAAATAAAGCTTTTAAGAATCCCAAGCTCGATTTACTAAATCGACCGCTTATATGAAGAAAGAAAGAAGGAAAGAAAGATCACGATAACCTTCTGAACGGAAATTACGAGAAAAAAAGTACTATCAAATGAAAACAGCAACATTAATGCTCAAAATCATCTTTAGTAGTTTACTATGGCCAAGGGTTTTTCCTCCTCTGAGTGTACACTTCAAATGTCAAGGAAAATCATCAAAATTTATTTATTTTTTCTAATTTAGATCGACGATCAGCCAATCACAATAAAAATCGTCACACTGTATGATCCACTGCCCTTGATTTTCAACTTTACACGCTGAGTAAAATACTTCAAAATCTCTCTCAATTTAATTATTAAAATATGCGTTCTTCGGAAAATAGAAAATGTGGGACAATATCTATGAGAGCCACATCAATAAATTCTCAGGGAATGTGCAGAGAAATATATCATCCAGGATGATAATTTTGTTAAGTCTAAATTTAGCGGACGAATGAATATGCAGAAGTTCTCGGCAGTTGCTGAAAATAGTCACTACATTTAACTTTTAATAATATCAATGAAAACACGACACAAAATGTCCAAAACTATAATACACATAACCATAGACCAATAAACCATACAATTTCTGGGACAAACAGACAAATACATGACCTACCCAAGTTCTACATATGGCAGGCTTCAATGAAAAAATTCCAGAGAAGAGCTCAAGGATCCAATGTTGAAGGATATCCAGGGATAAAGTCAGGCAATGCTTTGGGACGTGTCTACACGGTTCACCCCAACAAGTTTGAATGCTATTGTTTGAGACTACGTTTGCACCACATCCGTGGCCCAACATCATATGCAGCACTCAAGACAGTGAATGGACAAGTCTGCAGAACCTATCAGGAAGTGTGCAATCTCCTTGGCCTACTGGAAGATGATGGTCACTGGAATGACGCATTAGAAGAGGCAGCAGCTACTCAATCGCCAATGAGAATGAGGAACCTGTTTACCATCATGATTGCTACATGTGGATTTTCCAACCCAAGCCAGCTCTGGAAAAACCACCAAGAAAGTCTTTCAGAGGATCTGCTTCATCAAGCAAGAAGAGAACATCCTGGTCAAGAGATTGCGTTCATGGATGACATGTTCAACAGGGCTCTAATCATGCTGGAAGACAAAGTGATGGAGCTATGCGGAAATAATCTGACTGATTTTGGATTGCCTTCCCCAAACCGAGAAGAACCAGTAGTTGCAAACAGGGAGTTGCTCAGAGAGACAGACTACTCAGTTGGAGTTCTGGTGAATTTTCTTGAAGAAAATGAGTCCAACCTGGTGCCTCATTAAGCAAATGCTTATGAACAGATCTTGCAAGCGATACAAGCGGAGCAGGGAGGTATGATCTTTCTCGATGCACCTGGCGGGACAGAAAAAACATTCCTGATCAACCTTCTGTTGGCCAAAGTACGTCATCAGGGGAAAATTGCTCTTGCTGTGGCATCCTCAGGCATTGCAGCAACACAACTAGAAGGAGGACGTACTGCACACTCAACTTTTAAACTGCCTCTCAACCTCGCTCACAATGAGAATCCAGTGTGCAACATCAAAAAAAGGATCGGCATAGGCAAAACTCTTAGAAAAATGCAGCCTCATAGTCTGGGATGAATGCACGATGTCTCACAAGTTAGCGTTTAAAGCAATGGACAGGACCTTGTAAGTCATACGACAAAATGACCAGCTCATGGGTGGCATTACAATGGTCATTGCTGGAGACTTTCGCCAGACCCTACCTGTCATTCCTCGAAGCATTCCAGCTGATGAACTTTGGAGAAGTGTTCAGACACTCACCCTATCCACAAACATGAGAGTACTTATACAAGGAGATCAGGATGCTGGACGGTTTGCAAACCTTCTACTACAGATTGGGAATGGAACTTTCCCTGTTGATTCAGAAGAACAAATAATCATTCCTCAAGGATGTGGAAATGTTGTAAAGTCCTCAACTGAGCTCACTAACATGGTCTACCCAAACATTATCCACCACTACAAGGATCACAAGTGGTTACGTGAACGCGCAATTCTGGCACCAAAGAAATAAACAGTGGCTGAAATCAACATGACTCTACTCAGACAGCTTCCAGGCAGTGAGACCTCATTCAAATCTGTTGATATAGTAATCGACCAGGACCAAGCAGTCCAGTACCCTGCAGAATTCCTTAATTCTTTGGAGCCCGCTGGAATGCCTCCTCACCACCTCACTCTCAAGATTTGAACTCCTATAATGCTCTTAAGAAATCTTGAACCACCAATCCTCTGCAATGGCACAAGACTGGTGGTGAAGAACATGATGCCACATGTACTGGAAGCTACAATACTGACAGGAAAAGCTAAAGGAGAGGAAGTTTTTATACCAAGGATACCTCTCATCACCACTGACCTGCCATTTGAATTCAAGCGACTTCAGTTCCCGGTTAAAGTGAGCTTTGCCATGACCATCTACAAAGGCCAGGGACAGTCCCTAAAGATGGTTGGCCTAAACCTGGTGTTTCCTTGCTTCTCTCATGGACAGTTCTATGTTGGATGCTCCAGAGTGGGAACTGGCAAAAATCTGTACATACTTGGTGCTAATGGCAAAACAAAAAATGTGGTCTACCCTAATGCACTACAGTGAGACAATGTGGAGCCTCCCGGAGGGTGGCGTCCTATCGTGGCCTAGCGAAAGAGCGGCGATTCCGCTGGTGTATATATATATATATATATATATATATATATATATATATATATATATATATATATATATATATATATATATATATATATATATATATATATATATATATATATATATAAACATGATATTATACGAAAATTTACCTACGATAAACTTCAAAATTAAAAAAAATTAAAAAAAAATTAGAAAAGAGCAATCCACTTCAAAACCGACAAAAATGACCAGAGACCTACATACAAAGCGATATTTATATATATATACATAAATATATATATATATATATATATATATATATATATATATATATATATATATATATATATATATATATATATATATATATATATATATATATATACAGATCCACAATGAAAACGTGGATAAGATAAATCTTGATAAAATCACACTGGAAAAGGGAAACAACAGAGCACCTTAGCTTTCGTCATTATTCAAGACATCTTCAGAGGCAACTGAAGATGTAGAAGTCCGCGTGCTTTATTGGGCTAATGAAATATATATGGATCCTCGTATTTCGAAGCCGGAATTGGTAAAACGTTACTCTGACCACCTACGTGATACGGGTAGTCCCCATTAGAGGTTCACGGCACCATAAGCTCGTTGAACAGGCTTTGTGTGAAATATAACAAAGTCTAGGATCGCTTTTAGTATCCTGGTGGTCCAGAGGTTAGCGTTCCCCAGTCACAGTCATAGGCTCGTGGGCCGTGGGTTCGAATCTTGGCGGGTTGAGGTGTTGATTGTGTGTAGAAGTCCGCGTGCTTTATTGGGCTAATGAAATATATATGGATCCTCGTATTTCGCAGCCGGATTTGGTAAAACGTTACTCTGACCACCTACGTGATACAGGTAGTCCCCATTAGAGGTTCACGGCGCCATAAGCTCGTTGAACAGGCTTTGTGTGAAATATAACGAAGTCTAGGACTGCTTTTAGTATCCTGGTGGTCCAGCGGTTAGCGTTCCCCGGTCACAGTCATAGGCTCGTGGGCCGTGGGTTCGAATCCTGGCGGGTTGAGGTGTTGATTGTATGTAGAAGTCCACGTGCTTTATTGGGGTAATAAAAAAATATATATATATATATATATATATATATATATATATATATATATATATATATATATGTATATCTCAAGTTCTTTGAATTTATTCTTAGGATTATTATAATATATGAGGAACAGAGTATATAGCACAATGCTAAGGTTAAAATGTTTCGTCTGGAAACGAGCAATTGAAATCAGGGCTTCCTATAATTAATTAATCAGATGCAACAATGTGAAATATAGATTAAGTAAATTAAAATTATATCGTGTTTCCTGGTTAAATATGCTGATTAGTTAAGTGAGGTTGTCTATTTTAATCTTAAGACATACAAAAACTACCCACATACCTTGAGAAAATGTCCTTTAGGACGGAAGGAGATCATCCCATCGTGGACCTTAATTTCTTCTACCATGACGCCCAAGTAGTCGGCAATAAACTGTACAAGATTAACGTAACTCTTTTGTAGGGCATCTTTGCATCAATTGATCAGGTAAACTGTATATTTGAACTTTAACAAGTTGCCCCCTCCTTATTTCTACATTTGTGGATAATATGTCCCCATTAGTCAACACTTGGCTTATTGCTCATCTCAGTTATTGAAAAAATATTGAGAACCTGTTAGCTTTTTTGGCTTTATTGTTACTTAAACCTCTAAAATCAGTTCAGGATTCTTTTCCTTCACAGATGAAGCACTTGGAGGAGTATCATAAAGCGTAATGGTAGGGATGTGTGGAACATCCTGGACCAAGAGACAGTTAACACTCACCTAACGTGTCAAAACCTTAACACATATGTTTCCTGTGTACTGACTGATGTTCATCTACCTCTTCTGTTCGATCTGGTCGTCAGTCTTCCTAACACGGCCACCTGTCAAATAAAAGAAATGAACCAAATATAAAAAAATATTGCCAGAGAAAGGATATCTACAGTATCACAACATATCATGTATTTAAAGCTCCTGAAGAGTCTACTTTATGCTCGTTCTAAAAACTGTCCGAAGAAATACATTTCGTAAATAAATGAACAGAGTACCGCAAGTACAATCAGTGTCGAAAACAAGAGGAAAACTTACAAATTCTCTTCCTGGTTTTCACCATCTATTGTATATACCGGAATAGGGGAAAAACATGTATATGTTGAAATTTAATGAATTTCAGTTTTGGAGAAATGCTGAAGATCCTTGAGTATTTCCAAAGTTTGTTTCGTGATTTTTTTTTTTTACATATATGACAATTATAACAAGTGGTAAATATTCAAGTTAAAATGCAGATATGTTATTGTTATAGAGTTACATGATTGTTATAGGGTAGCATGGACTGTTACTACCTCTAGTCGTCAATCTTTAATTAATGAGTGATCTTCACCCATATAGTCCAGTTCTTATCTATATCTGCAATTAACTGTGTGGATGCCAGAGTGGGTCCGCTCCGGTAACGTCCTCGACTGGTCAGCTAAATCTGAAACGGGTAGCAGATTCCAGTAAGCTAATTAATTTTTGTGTTGGATAAGCCTAAAGGCGGAGTACTCTAGACTGTCCGACTATCCTGACGTCTACCATTTCGTCATATGGGAGCCATGTATCATGGGGGGTTGCTTCTCGCATATATTTAGTCAATAAATCCTGCAAGTATTTCACCAACCAACCATGAAGTATGAATGATAATTTGAAATGGTCTCTAAGCTTTTTTTTTTTTTTAATTCTAAAGCAAAAATAAATATAGACATGTGGAGCGTTAAAATATAACGCAGGGTAGAAAATTATAACAGAAGAAATACTCTGTAAATATAAAGTTGATGTTCTGGCACTCTGTGAGACGAGATGGAGAGGAAAGGATAGGATTGTGACTGCCGGAGGAAACACACTGCTTGTCTTTAGTAAAGAGGATACTGTTGAGCAGAAATGCCTTAACAGCTTTGACAGTATGCTATGCGCCAAATAATAATGCACCTGATAAGTGAAAGGCGCTTTCTACGAAGAGCTACAAGATGGGGTAGATGATACACCGAACGGATATGTGATGATAGCAATAGGCACTTTAATGCAAAGGTGGATTAGAGCACGTTACTGAGAGGCATGGGTTGGCCGGTTGGGTGAAATCAAGAGAATGGATCACTACTGGTTAGTTTTTGCACAGCCAATACTCTCATCGTAGGAGGAAAATTTTTTGACATGAGGGACTTACACAAGTGCACCTGGATTCACAAGATGAATATTATCGCCACCAGATTGATCACAGAGGAACAATTCATTATGGGATGTCAGAATGTAGAGGGGAGCGAAAATCAGATCGTAGTTGGGGATGTCAAGTTGAAGCCAATGTCAAAAGAGAGGAGGGAAAAATTGTGTTTTGATATGATAATAAAAAAACGTTGGATACGTACAATGGAGGAATCTAAACTGAGTGCCGTAAACGCTTTTCGGTACTGGAAACGAAAGATTGGCATACTAGAAGTGCAGAGGAGAGATATAAAGGGAGTAAACCAGACTGTAAGTGGAGAGATTCCTGGAAGAAAAAAAATCATTTACCTCTGAGAACCTTATACGAGATCGATGGGGGAACACTTTAGGATGGCGATGAATAAAGTTTTTACCAAAGGTGATGCTCTTGATATGCGAGAGCTGAAGAGAATTTATACTAATATTCGCGAAGTTATAGTGGATGAAACAAAGAAAGTATTAAAACCTCTGAAGAATTGAAAGGTATCTGTGCTAGATGGATTTTTTTTTATTTAGGCTAAGGTGGGGAAAGGATGGAAGGCATGCTGGGGCTCAAGGCACAGCCAGACATGAAGGATAGAGAAGTCACTACAGATAGTCGTGGGGGGACTTGCTAAATGTGATCTTATATCATCTAAGTTTTAATCTAAGGTGGATCGTTGTGGCGGACATAGATGGGTCGTGGGTTGGGTTGTTGTAGTGCGGGCAGACTCCGGGCAGACTCCGGGGCCACCAGGAGTGAGGTCGCCCTCCGCTGATGTCTTTCCCGTGTAGGTGGTCTGGGATGTCAGGGTTGTCCAGGAGCTTGTCCCAAACCTTCTTCCCTAGGCGATGGAACCTGACGTTGAGGGCCTCCGTTTTATTTCACAGGTGGATGGTTTTCACTGTCTCCTGGTAGGGTGGCGCTTGGCCACTGGCTGACCTCCGACACTTGTTTTAGAAGCTCTGTAGTTGTTGTAGTCTGGTCTTCCCGAGTGTGACGAGTGATATATGTGGGTACTCCAACACAGGCCTCACCAGCACCTTGTACAGGTGGACTTGTATCTTCACAGGCATCGGTTTAAAACGTTTTAATTTGGCGGCGGCGACTTTGGCTTTCTTTAGTATGTCCTTTTCGTGGGAAATGAGGCCCGTCCGAGAGATGATGAGGCCGAGCGACCTGCCGTGTTTAGAGTACTCAATCTCTTCGTCGTCGGTCATCAATGGCGCAGGCTTGAATTTGGCTATGGGTATGACCTCGAATTTCGTTTTTTTTTTTCCATTTGTTTTCATTCTCCGAAATATCCTCTATTGCCCGAGCAGTAAGTCGCATCATCCTTGCCGTGGACCTTCCTGGCCAGGTGACAATCAGTGTTACATCGTGGGCATACATGACGTACTCGCTGTCGACAATTGGGGGTGGCAGGTCATCCGTGTAGAGCGTGTAAAGGGTTGGTGAGAGACAAGAGCCCTGAGGCATGCCGCAGAGCGCACCCAACCTTCATAGAGAGTGGACGTGCTATGCATTGCTCCCTGCTCAGTTCAAATTGCTGACCGTTACGACTGTCTGTCTTGTTTTTCACATTGTGTCCGCTCTGACTGCTTTACCTTGTAGTTGTACTATCGTGCACAAAAGTTGTGTCCACTACCCAGCCACAGTGAGGGTTCGAATAGCCTTGAGTCTGAAGTTTCGAATGAGGTGGGGGAAATGCTATGGTCGCTCACTGTAGTGTGTGGGGGGAAGGGGGGATAGAGGAGGTGGGGGTTAGTCTAGTAACAGGTAGTGTGTAGGTAGAGCATAACATCGTGAATTCCGCAATCACTGATAACAATAAGAATGTCATGAAGATAGTTAATATTATTAAGCATGGTGAGAGATGTGTAACGGGTAAATAAAAGCACTACAACGACCATATCTCTGCCGTTCATGGATACGACTGTGGTACTGATGGGCACACCAGTAATTAATTCTCCGTGACTACCAGTAATGGTAGTCACGGAGACTACACAAGTTGTTACCAAAGTTGGCGCCACCCACAACAGGGGAAGGAGGTGATGTCGAATACTGAAACATGCCGAGGTCTCATTCCTACCATCGTCGTCACCAACAGGTAAGTCACATTAATTTGTCAGCATAGCCCATGTCGTCCTTATACTATTGCAGGGTGTCCCATGAGTGACAGCAGATATTTGTAGAGGTGAAAGAATATGTGATATTGAGTTGAAAATCTTCTATACACATAAGCATTTTTTGGTTTACTTTAGGCATGAGGTGGGTTGTAAAAATTATATTTTATTTTTCTTACCAATTGCAGCCATACTGTGTGCTGTTGTAATCCTTATTGGTGGATTACATAAGGCCTATTAATAGCGTGAAAACCTGTTTGAAGATACTGTAATGTTCCATAACTTGCATTAAACAACATCATACGTTCACGAGTTCCAACTCCACGCCTAGCCTCCCTCCCCCGCCTCTACCCACCCAACTATCAAACCTCATAATTTGAGCATCGTGGGTTACCACACCTAAACACTAATCGACAACTTATTCTCTCTCCACACTCCCCCTCCACCATCCCCCCACTCCACTCCTCCCTCCCCCACCTCTTCCCTTCATCCCTCCCCCAAGACTAACATCAATCGAACATTCCATCCTATCACATTACCTTCCCCTGCATTCCCCAACCCCCCTCCCCCTATTCTACCCATGGCAACGAATTGGACTACTGTAATGAATAGTCACAGAACCGACGACATGGCTCCTCCCCCTTGTATTTAGAGTTAAAACCCTTACAACAAAGGTCAATCCCACGTAACTTGAGCCGGATTAAGATATGTGGAAAAAAAACAAGCAACACCCGTGGCCACCCCCCTACCCCAACCTAAAATCATAGCCACCACGTCTCTATCTCTATCCGTTCCCTCTATCTATAATAAAAAGTGTAACCCTACTCAGAAAAAATAATGAATGGGCCCTCCAAACAAATTAAAGATGAGGTGCACCCCACCCAAATAGGGATGGTCCCTCCATTTCCTTTCGCCTTCTTTTCTCCACAGCCTTTCCTTCCTCCCATCGCCCCAGTCACCCCAACCTACCACCCAATACCATGCAGTGGGCAGAAGGCCACACACTTTCTCTCCTCCTAAAAGTCTGTTCCGTTTAACCCACATTTTTTCACTACTAAACCTTCTTGCCCCTTTCCTATCACTATCCGTATCTCCCGCCTCGAGTCCGCCATTTGTAATGGTTGCCTTGCGTAATTTGTAAAATCCACCTCACGGCTAAACGTAAACCGAAAAATCCATATATGTATAGAAGTTTTATACTCAGAATCACATATTCTTTCACCTCTACAAATATCTGCTGTAATATGTGGGACACCCTATTATAATTATACGAGTTGTTTATGGGCTCCTTAGTTAACCTCACCATAAAAATATGGTGTTTGATGTGCTATGCGTTTGGTGGTCATATTTGCCGCACGTTACCTTACTCCGTTATGTTACACCCCCAGTTGCAACCTGGGAGTTTGGGTTGGGTAATTTAGTAATTTGAGCAGAAATGGAATTCAGAACGACTCAATCAACATGAAGAAAAACGTTTTTATATAACGAACCCTAACGTAATGTAACCTATTACAGTTATATGTAATCTGGGACGAACATGTAATAGCTGACAATTGTCAAAGAAATATGTAAA